AACACCACTGAGATGGGCAAAGCCTCAACCACTGCACAGGTGGAGGTGGAAGAGGGAAGCCCAGAGGGGGCACAGACCAGCCCCAAGGTTATAGTCTGAGAAAAAAACATTTCTAATTAGATAAAAATGTGGTCAAGATCGGCCAGGTACAGTAGCTCACACCTATCATCCCCACACTTTGGGAGGATGAGGTGGGAGAATGGCCTAAAGCCAAGAGACCAGCCTGGGTAACAAAGTGAGATCCTGTTTTTCTAAAGCCAAATGGAAACAAAAGAGGATTTAAAATGAAGTCATGTGGGAGTCCGACCAAAACTGACTAAGGCGGATGGACAAGGGAGAGAACGAGAGGCTCAGGGACGCATCAAAGGACGAAGCAGATGTCGTGCGGCTCTCTGGGACCAGAGGGAAAAAGCCAGAACGAATTCCCCAGGAAGCCGAGTGTGGCCAACCTCAAGGGCACTCTCCTTTCCTGTGTCTGACACCCTCAAGTATGGAGTGCACACATTCTGAGGTCCACCCCACCCCTGCCCTGTTTCAGGCTCTCAACAGTGTTTGAATGGGTAAATATGCTTCTTCATGACTCAGCATAATCAGAGATCACAACAAATGCCAGTATGTCGCCCTGGGCCAGGCATGGTCCAGGTGGCTGGGTAGGGCTGAGGGATGATTCACAGTCTAGGGGTTAGAGGCCTAGGTGACGTAGGGACCTCCCTACCCAGAGCCATCTTGTGGCTCCCACTCCTGTGAAAAGTCAGAGTTTCTATGTAAATAATTCCAAAGGTATCTGAGAACATAAAAGCCAGGCTGAGGAACTATACCCATGAGAAACTCTAGGGCTAGCAATGGGATAAGAAAGTGTTAGAATCTCACCTGTCCATATCAGATTCTAGAATTATGCCTTACCTCATTTGCAAATTGTGTCTCTAGACCTGCAGGAACCCAGACTCTTCCTCAGCCAGTCTCCCTTCTCTCAGCTTGGGCCAGTCCCCAAGACAGAGGCTCACATTTATGGAACACTGAATCTGTGCTAGGCACTATGCTAAGAGCTTTGTATGTGCCCTCCCACTTAATTCCTCACAACTGGAGGAGATTGTACCCATTGTACAGACAAAGAAACTGAGCTGAGAGGCTAAGTGATTTGCCCAGTTCTCCAGCAGGAAGGCACAGGATTCAGAATCTGACAGCCTGAGTTCTAGCCCTGCCTCTCTCGAGTTCTCTGAATGAGTCTCAGTTTATCTCTACAATGGGGAAATTGAACATAATGTACCTTGAATCCTGAGTCTGTGGATTCCTAGCAGATTCCTGGATGAACTTTTTAAGGTTTTGTCAAACCCTTGGAATAGTTAAGAAAATACATATTTTTCTTTTTCTTTAGAAAAATCAGTTTTCTGAAATGGGTCTATAACTTGAAATAAATGGGATGGTTTATGGGTCAGAGGAAAAGGGTGGTGAGGAGAGCGACGTCTGCTTACCATCCACTCTGCACCAGGCCCTGTTCCTCGCACTCACTGGGCACTAAAACCCAGGGAGTAGTCCCCCTGATCCTATAGAGTTCTGAGTAGCTAAGACACTTGTCTCTGGTCACGGCTTGTGAAGGTGGAGCTGGGCTCAAAATCCAGCCCTGCAGGATTAGATCAAGTTTTGCAGATGAAAGTGCTCTAGTCGGTTTGAAATAATGATGAGTTACCACCTAGGTTCCCGCATTAGCTACCTTTCCATTCTCCTCCCTTAGGGCAGGTGGGGAGCAAATGAGAGCTGAAAAAGTAAACTTCCAGGTATACAGACAAGGGGCCTCACAGTGATATCAGTGGAACAGGGCAGGCGGAGAAGCAGGTCACAGGCCGGCCCCTTCCAGAGGGACTTTATTCTTAGCTCATAGGATGGTAGATACCCGGAATATTCAACATACACACACTAGACACAACATTCACTGTGGAGTAACTGACAGGGTTGCTCCCGCGCTCGGGGAGGCTAATACAGTGAGGGCTCAGAGGGAAATGAGCCATCATCAGCCCCCCTGAGAAACAACAGGACTTTCCAAGACTCTTTTGAATGCTCTGCTCCCATTATGTGGAATGAGAACACAGGCTGTGGCATCAGACAGACCTGGGTACGAGTCTCAGCTCTGTCCCTGACTAGCTGTGTGACCTCATGCAAATACCTCAACCTCGCTGAGCCTCAGTCTGTTCCTCTGTGAAATGTATACTCATCCCTTCCTGCAGAGACCATGAGGGCAGAGGTCACCCATGGGCAACACGAAGCAGGGTTCTGGTGTGAGTTCCACGTTGCCCTCTCTGGGGCAGTCTAGAAGAGAGGCTGCCCGGTAGCACTGTACAGTCGCTCACTAACTGCTGAGTGGGGAGATACTGAGCTGCTGTTTTGTGTTTTTCAGAGTGACCCACTGATCCCCATTCTCTGACCAAGGCCAGTGCTGGGGGAGGCTTTTCCCCAGGAACTCAGACACCACCAGGGACCCTGGATCTCAATGAACAGCCCCAAATCACAGCTCTGCTCCCTAAATGAGCAGCGCCGGGGGAGGCAAGAGCCCTGGTGTGGACACTGACTGCATGGATTCGAACCCCACTCACCACCGCCAAGCTGCATGGCGCTAGGCCCGTCACTTCCTCATCCCAGCCCCCTTAGAAAGGGTTGTGTAGACTAAGCAACGCAATACTTAGTGAAGACATCCACAACATGGCGGGTGCTCAACCAGCACTGATCACTTCCTGGCCCAGCTCCCTACTGCTCCCTGTGTTTCTAGAGTGCCCGGTCCCTAGATTTCAAATCCTAGAGTCAGCAAACCCCTCTGCTCTGCCCCCATACCTGGGTGGCAGTTCCTATTTGATCCCACTTCTGGGTATCTGTCCAAACCTCTCTCCTGTCCCCGTTCCTGCCACTTCATCACCTCCCCTGTCTTACCTGGCTTCTAGCTCCCAGTTCCTAGTCCATCCAATTGGCCCACACCCCATTCACTGTGACCTACACCCCTCTCCCTGTGCCACACTCCAGCACCAGAACCTCCCATGGCACCCTACTGCCAGTCCAGCCAGGCCAAGCCTATCCTACAAGACTGACAGGTTGAGTTAGAGCAGAGCACATGTGGGAGGCAGTAGGAGGGAGGCTTCCTGGAGGAGTGTGGCTGAGCTGGGAACTGACAGGCAATGGGGAACATGTTAAGGGAGCAGAGGCTGGGGGTAGGCACTCTAGGAAGGAGGCATAGCACAGACAAGAAAGCACACAGGAGGGTGAGGCTGTGGTGTGAGCTGGGCAGGAGTGACCGGGGTGGTGGAGAGCTTCCCCAGTCTCACTCGAGCTGGTTCTGACAACTTGTGCTGTCTGGGCCTGCAGAGTCCACGCTCAGATCATACTGAGCCCTAAGCAGCGATACTATGGAGTTGCCTTAACGTCAGGTGAGCCAGACCTCTAGTTACCTATTCTGATGATATTGTGGGGGCTGCCTTGTGCTTCCTCTTCCACGACGTCATCTTCTTCCTGTGCTAGAATCATGGGATGTACCTTGTCTCTCAGAGGCCCTACTGGACTGGAATCAGAGGCAGCTCGTGGTCTCCTCACCACATCCAAATCCCCATCCTCATCCAGCTGAGCTTCAGCCACTTCCTGGCCAGTGGTGTCAGCCCCGTCCTGGAGGGAGAAACCCTCGTTACCGCGGCCACTTCCTGGAGGGGACCCTGTGCTGCTCGTCTCAGCAGAAGGAGGCTCCTTTGTGTGAATATCCCTGTGATTGCCACCCTTGGCCCCTGAGTCTGTCCAAGAATCTTGGCTCCAGAGAAGCTTGAATTGGGAGAGGAAAACTGAAAGGCAAGACAAAAAGCAAAATGAGAATTCCAAGGTGTTTTCTTTCTTTTTTCCTCTTCTGTTTTGAGAATATCTGATTACCAACATGGAAGATTTTTAAATGCCAGGTAGAGATATATTAATGTCAGCAGAAAAGGCCCAGATGATTCAGCTGTGACCACCATCAACAGCAGCCATCATTTCATGAGAATCTAGGAGGCGCTTAGCTCACATCACCTCATTCAATCTTCACAAGGGCCGTGAAGACAGCGTTATCAGCGTCATCTTACAGATCCACAAACTGAAGCTTAGAGAAACGAGCTGATCAAGGCAACACAACTTTCAGGACTGAGCTCAGGGGCCTCTCCGCTAACCTCCCACAGCATCCTGGGCTTCTGCCAGTTTTTGGATCTGTCCAATCATCCATCCACCCATCCGCATCCATCCACTCATCCATTCATCACTGAACACTGACTGCATGCCAAGTACCATGCTAGATGCTGGGGGTACAAAGCAGAATTTGATTATGTTAGGGGCTTACATTTTAGGGGTGAAGTTGGGGAACAAACATTAAACAAGATCATGACACCACACTGTGTTAACTGCCAGGAATATAGTAAAACTGCACTCTGTGCGACACAGATATGGCAACCAGGTAAGGCAGGGGTAAGCAAACTGTTCCTGTAACAGATTAGATGAAAAACTCTGTGGCTGGGCACGATGGCTCACACCTGTAATTCCAGCATTTTGGGAGGTCAAGACAGGCAGATTTCTTGAGCCCAGGAATTCGAGACCAGCCTGGGCAACATGGTGAAACCTCTCCAAAAAAAATTACCCGGGTGTGGTGGCATGTGCCCAGCTACTCAGGAGGCTGAGGTGGGAGGATCACCCGAGCCTGGCGACGTTGAGGCTGTAGCAAGTCAAGACTGCACCGCTGCACTCCAGCTTGGGTGACGGAATAAGACCCTGTCTCATAAAATATACCCAATTTTAAGCTTTGCGGGCCCTGTGATCTTTGCTGTGACTCCTCAACTCTGCCGTTATAGCACAAAAGCAGCTGTAAAAACACGGAAATGAATGGGCATGGCCGTGGCGTCATAAAACTTAATAAAAATAGCTGCAGGCCAGATTTGGCCTATAGGCTGTAGTTTGCAGACCCCTGGTATAATGTACCATCCAAATTAGGGCAGGAGGGCAATGGGAATGATTAATCATCAGACCATAACAAGCTAACACAGGGTAACTGGAGCTAGGGAGGGTGGCCAGGGAGGGGCTGTCTGTGCAGATGATACTTGAGGAGCCAAGGAGAGTTGGAAAGTAGGTGCTTCCTCCCTGACCTTGTGTCTTATGGTTGCTTCCCTCTTCTTCCTGTGTTCGAGGGACAGAAAAAAGCTGAGAGTGGCCAAGAAGAGCAAGGGAGAGTGACATAAGGGTAAGCACACAGGCAGAGGCTTGTTAGGCTGTCCTCATAGACCAAGTTGAGGAACCTGGATGCTATTGTTAGAGCAATGGAAAGCCACTAGAGGTCTAACTCAGGAAGTGCTGTGACTTGATCTGCATTTTCAAAAGATGCTCTTAGCTGCTGCAGAGATAAGTGGGGAGTGTGTGTAGCAGTCAACTCAGTGGGAGAAGACAGGCAGCCAGGCCAGGAATGGAGGTGGCTGGACTAGGGTAAAGGGAGTGGGGATAAAGAGTAGATGACAGGGCCAGGTGCTGTGGCTCACACCTATAATCCCAGCACTTTGAGAGGCTGGGGTGGGTGGATCACCAGAGGTCAAAAGTTCAAGACCAACCTGACCAACATGATGGAACCCTGTCTCTTCTAAAAACACAAAAATTAGCTGGGCGTGGTGGCCGATGCCTGTAATCCCAGCTACCAGGAGGGTGAGCCAGGAGAGTCGCTTGAACCCAGGAGGCAAAGGTTGCAGTGAGCTGAGATTGGGCCACTGCACTCCAGCCTTGGTGACAGAATGAGATTCTGTCTCAAAAAAAAAAAGCAGAGGACAGATGGATCCCCAGCACTCTGTCTCCCAACTGAACCCTGGGCTTGCTCAGGGCAAAGCTTGGCTCATTCATGTCTGCATTCCCAGCATCAAGTCCTAGGCTGGGCACACAGTAGGTGCTCAGGAACGCACAGGAGTTTGCTTAATGAAAGGGGGGCGGGCAGCAGTTCGCCTTAATCCCAGGGACTCAAGAGGCTAAGGTGGGAGGGTTGCTTCAGGCCTGGAGTTCAAAACCAGCCTGGCCAACACAGTAAGACTCCATCTCTACTAAATAAAAACCAGCCAGGTGTGGTGATGCGAGACTGTAGTCCCAGCTACTCTGGAGGCAGGGGAAGGAGGATCACTTGAGACCAGGAGTTTGAGGCTGCAGTGAGACTCTGTCTTGAAAAAAAAGCAAACAAACAAAAGCAAAACAAACCCCCACACACAAAATTGCAGAGTGCAAGGTTTCTAAAAAATATTAAGGAAAAGCACTTTAGAAGCGGTCTGAGTATAACAGTTACATAACCCAGTCTTCCCAACATTTTCCCCAAAAAGATGGGTATGAGAAAACAGAAAACAAAATAGGATCCACAGGGCACCTGGGCCCAGGACCTTACCTGGCTGCCCCACACTGTTCAGCCGCACCATGAGGTGTCTATGGTTTGGGGTGTAGAGGTGGACGTCTGACAGCACAGTGTCGCTTCTAAAGGTGACTTCGTCCATGGATGCGGCAGGAGCCAGCTGCACCATGGCCCAGGCTCCACCTTAGTCCTGGGACAGGAGCCCCTCAGAGGCGAGAACAGGTTCTTAGTATGGCAGGTCCCAGAGGAGACAGTGCAGACAGGCCCAAGCTGGTAGACAGCCAATAGCTTTGCATCACCCTGGGAGGAGGTCTCAGAGACTTGGCCAGGAAGAGAATCCAGCTAGAATTGAATTGCGTGCATTGTTTATAATATATTCGCTTTCATAGTAACCTTTTATTTATAGCAAGAGATAAAAATTTCCATTTGTAGGGATAAAGTTTCTCATTTTTTCAACTTATTACAAAAAAATTTCAAACAGTAAGAGTATAGGGGAACATCATAACCAGGCAAGTACTGCTTCGATTCAACGATCGTCACCATTTTGCCACATGTGCCTGCCCTCTCTGGTTTCTTCTCGAGCTAAGAGTACATTGCAGACATCATGACATTTTGCCCCTAAATTCTTCAATGTCTGTCCCCTAAGAGCATTTCCCTGTATAACCATAAGACCATTAGCAAATGTAAGATAATTAATAATTACCTAATAGCATTTAAAGTCAATTTCCTCCATCTGGCTCCCAAAGGTCCTTGAGGTTATTCCCCTCAAACCAGTATCCAATCACAATTTACACTTTGCATTTAGTCATTAAGGCCCTTTGCTCTTCTTTTTAATTCTAGAAGCTGTTACAAACTGCTCCTGTATCATTTGTTATAAAGCTTTCCTATTTTAAACAATGTTTTATTTTTAACAATTTCTTTGGCCCAGTGAGGCTGCAACAGGAGAATCGCTTGAACCCAGGAGGCAGAGGCTGCAGTGAGCCAAGATCGCACCACTACACTCTAGCCTGGGTGACACAGTGAGACGTCATCTAAAAAAAAAAAAAAATTCTTTTTAGAGACAGGATCTTGTTCTGTTGCCTAGGCTGTAGTGCAGTGGTACAAGCATGGCTCACTACAGCCTCAAAGTCCTGGGTTCGTGAGAGCCTCCTGCCTCAACATCCCTAGTAGTTAGGACTACAGCTATGCCACCATGCTTGGCATTAAAAATTTCTTTTTGTAGAGATGAGGGTCTCACTATGTTTCCCAGGCTGGTCTCAAATTCCTGGGCTCAAGCGATCTGCCCACCTTAGCTTCCCAAAGTGTTGGGATTATAGGCATGAGCCACCATGCCTGGCCTAAAGCTTTGCTACTGAATTAAAAAAGGTGAGTGGAATTAGCCTGGTGTGGTGGCACACGCCTGTACTCCCAGCCACTTGGGGGGCTGAGGTGGGAGGATTGCTTGAGCACTAAAGGCGGAGGTTGCAGTGAGCAGAGAATGCCCCACTGCACTCTGCACTCCAGCCTGGGTGACAAAGCAAGACCCTGTCTTAAAAAAAAAAAAAAAAAAAAAAATTTGAAGAAAAAAAGGTGAATGAATTTAAAGGAAAGTAATTAAGGGAATCACTACACAGACGATATGCAGATATGGAAAAATTATGCAGGTGATACAGCAATAACTAAAACTTGGGAAACCATGGCTGAGGCAAAGTGGTCAAAAACAGGGAGGATCTCCCTCCAACCAAATGTTTCACCTCATTTAAAAGCATCATCAAATAGCAGTATTCAGATGGGCTTTGAAGCTGGACAGCCCAGATGGGGATCCCTGGTCTCTCGCCTTCTAGCTATGTGATCTCAGGAAAATCACGTCACCTTTCTGCATCTGTTTTTTTTCAGCCACACTCTCATGCAGTGGTACTACTGGGTGGGAGAGTCCTTGGTCTACAGTAGGTGTTAATAAAGCACCAGCAACCTTCTTGTTCTGGGGTTGGTTTCAGGTATTTGACCCAAACATGCCCTTGACTGCCTGCAGGAACTGTTCCTACTGGGGTAGGTATATCCCCTAGGCATGTCATGAAATCTTGCAGGGTCCCCATTTCTTCAACTGCAAAATGAGGTCATCATGACTCAGGCTGTCCCAATGATCCCAGTACACAGCTGGAGTTCCTACATTTAAGAGTTTGCCATGGGGCAGCAGAAGTTCTTCCAAGACAAAAAGTTTTAGGAAAAAGATGATTCCTAATGCTGGCTTTCTACTCAACACTATAAAGCCATCAAAATGCAAGTGGGTTGTAAAGAAAGTCTGTGAAGCTGGCAAATAAATGCAGAATTTCATGGTGTCATTGAACGTGGAGAAATGCTCGACCTTCAGGCAAACACTCTTAATCAATGGGATTGGCAAAACCACACCAGATTCTGGAAGAGAAAATACAGCTTATACCTACCACTCATTTCAAAGGCAGATCAAGCTTTCTCAGGACTTAGAGATGTCCTGGGAGAAAACTGGGGACTTTCACACATAGTTTTGGGGAAAAGAAGATCCTCTCTAACATTGCAGTGAAAATCAAAGCAAACAAAGGATGCCATTTCTTTTTTCACTATAGTGCATTTTCTTTTCTTTTTTTGGAGATACAGTCTCCCTCTGTTGCCCAGGCTGGAGTGCATGGTGCCATCTTGGCTCACTCCAACCTCTGCCTCCTGGGCTCAGCGATCCTACCTCAGTGTCCTGAGTAGTTGGAACTGCATGCACACGCCACCCTGCCCAGCTAATTTTGTATCATTAGTAGAGGCAGGATTTTGCCACGCCAGCTAGGCTAGTCTCAAACTCCTGATCTCAAGGTGATCCGCCCACTTTGGCTTCCCAAAGTACTGAGGTTACAGGTATGAACCACTGTGTGTGGCCTATAGTGCAATCTTGTTGGAAAACTTTCATCCCAGAAAAATCAATGTTCTTTGCTTTTTCCAAAAGTGAGTATAATATTACACACCAAATTTTCTTAACTATAGACAAAAAGAAAACTCAAATTCTTAATCTCTAGTTGATTTTTCCATTTTTAAATTCAATCCAACCAGGCTTCCCAAGAAATGTATGCTACAGGGTAAATCCCAGGTGAAGGAGATTCCCTTTATGGGACTTACCCAGAATCAGCTATCTGGAAATAAGGAGGCCCCCTTGAACATATCTCAGGGCCTGTATGAGGAATACATGAGATAATGATCACTTTTTACTTTTACTTTTACTAGGGCTCACGACATCTAGTAAAAGTTTAATAAGCAACGATAGTAATTACAGCAATATAATAATTATTAAAGTGAATGCTGGGAAGAAAGACAAAAGGTAACAGTTTCTCCAGTCAGGAAGCCTCCCTCTGGGAATGCAGGGTATGTATGGGCTTCGGGCTCCTCTCTTCACTGGGCAGAGCTGAGAAAGGAGACCCGGGTTGCGGATGGGGACCAGCCCCGCCACCCTCCATAGGGCTGCAGGCTCATCCCCGCAGCAGGAGCTAACGTGTTCTTGGCTCTTCTAAGGCTGTGGGGGCTGGACTGAGACGCTGCCAGCCTTCCCCTCCTATAGGCCCCCAGTCAGTTGTCCCAAATAAGCAGTTTGCTGGGATCACGGTGTTAAAATAACTTCCCTCCTCATCTTTCTTTCTGCTGAGTGCAACTCACTCAACAATCTGGAATTTGGCGCGATCCCATGACGATTTAGGGCCAAAAGCAGGGTAACAGAGGGCAGGGTGTGAGGGCCCGGGGTCGGGGTGGTAATAAGGGGGCCCGATCGCGGCGCGCAGAGTCGTAGTGAGGGGCTCCGGGACGTCCCCCGTGGGGCTTCTCGTCCTCTTTCTCTTGTCGCTTTCCTAACGCCACCCTTTTGGGTTAACTACTGCCCTCTCAAAAGGCAGTCACAGGTCGATCATTGCCCTCCCTTCTTAATCCGGAACCGAAGGAGAGCTGCCTGGACCCAGGACGGGGAAACCCAGGTGAGGACGTGCACTTCTTCCCGCAACACCTGTGCTAAGAAGGGGACACTGAGGCTGAGTGGGGTCGGGCCTTAGGGAATCTGGGCCTCAGATCCGTGGGAGCTCGGGTTTCAAAGTCAGTCTCGGCGCCCAGAGGTTCCCTGCACCCTACCCTATCCCGCTGCCTCTTCCAGGGACTTACCCGCCGCAGGTCCCAGCCTGGAGTCCCACCCGACCACCCTCTCGGTGGGACCTAGGCGGCCGCCATAACAGGGGGTCTGCGCAGGCGCGGCCCCGCCCCCGACTGCGTCTGCCCGACGGGGGCGGGGCCGCGGTGGAGCAGCGCACCGTGGCTCCACCTACTTGCCCGGGCAGCGTAAGCGTGTCGGGGCTGCTGGCGCACACCTGCAACTTTCACTCTGGTCACGGGTGAGGCGTGTTTGCTGCTGGGGGTCCCTCTGCACGTGCGTGGCCAAATTCATTCCTCTAAAGGAGTTAAATAGGAATTAAATAACTCGCCCAGCTACTGAGTGGTAAAGCCTAGATTCGAATCCGGGGTGTAGGGTTCAGAGCCTGGTACTGTTTATCATGCCAGCGACTGCATTTATCACTGATAACGTTTATCATGTTATCGTTATCCATGCTCTTAGTACTCGCTTATTATTTTTTATTTTTGTGTGTGTGTGTGACGGTCTTGCTCTGTTGCCTAGGCTGGAGTGCAGCGGTGTAATCATAGCTCAGTGCAACCTTGAACTCCTGGGCTCAAGCCATCCTCCTGTTTCAGCCTCCCTAGTAGCTGGGACTACAGCTGCGTGCCACCATTTAAAAGAAATTTTGGAGAGACTGTGTCTTACTATGTTGTCCAGCCTGGCCTCAAACTCCTGGCTTCAAGCAGTCCTCCAGCACTGGCCTCCCAAAGCTCTCAAATTACAGGCATGAGCCACTATGCCCAGCCAGTACTCCTTATTCTTAATAGGTGGTAGTGATTTCATTAAATTATATGCTCATCAAGTTTCCAACACCAGGGAGGTGAGACAAAATCGCAAACATAAGAATCCATGTTTGCCCCTTTTGGCCTTGCCTGCAGAATTTCACAAAGCCTCTGAGTCAGTGACTGAGCACAGTCCTCCGAAGGATGCCCTGAAGAGGATGAGCAGGATAGACCACAGGTTCTCATGTCTTTTGCCTGAGTCACTGCATTTTTAGAAAAAGTAAAGTCAACGAACCTGGCCCTTTTCTCAACTTGTGTATTCCAGTGACAACATGGAAGTCAGCCTGGCCACAATGGAGTAACCCAGGAGATGGGCTGTAAGGAAACGAGGATACAGATGTATCCAGGGTTAGAACTTTTGCAACATTGTAAGAACTTCGGATTTTATTGTGCATGAGATGGGGAGCTGCCAGGAATATACACCACACTGATGTGTTCACAGACATGCCCAGACACACACAGTTGTGTCCACTCTCAGACATGTCAACATCAACACACAAATATAAACACAGGCACATATGCAAAGTCCACATACGTAAAATCCATATGCCCATATGCTCACGTATACACATACACACACGGCCTCAGCTGGCACCCTTTTTCTAAATTACTTATTTTTTCTCTTTTCAAAACAGAATTAAATCAACATCAGTTTCGTGGTTACTGATGATAAGATGTGAAGAGTTGATAGGGTGACTAAGTGACACAAATAAGCAGTTTTGTTTTTTTTTAAGAAACAGATTGTGTTTACTGAAATCCCCCAGGACAGTACACAGAGAGCCAGTTAGGTGTCTTGGGATCAGATTCTATTCCTAGTTTTCTCTCTAGTTCACTGAGGGTTCTCTCCGTTATCCCCAGAGGATGTTGGGAGGTGGTGAGGGCACTAGGAAGGCATTGCTCACACCCTTCGGAGTTTTGTCTTCAAATTTAAAGCAGGGAAAAGGATCCTTTAAAATCAAAAGTCAGATAACATCTTTCCTCTCATCAAACCTATAATCTTTTATAGGGGATTAGTGCCCCTACAAAAAAGGCCCCCAAAAGCTGCCTCACCCCTTCTGTCATACGAGCACACAGCAAAAAGATAGCCATCTATGACCAATAATTGGACACAAAATCTTCCAGTGCCTTGATCTTGGATTTTGCAGCCCCTAGAACCATGAGAAATGAATGTGTTTTATTTATCAGCCACCCCATGTATGATATTCTGTTAAAGCAGCCCAGATGACCTCTGAGATTGACCCACAGAATTTAGGAACACAGAAAAGAGTTATTATTAGTGCCACAAAATTTGAGGTGATTTCCAACACAGTAATAGGTCACCAGATAAGGGGAAAGAAAGCCAGCCCTTCTTGGTAGGCCTGTGAAGAGATGGTAGCTGGGGGAGTGGGGGAGAGGACCCTCTGCTCCTGAGCCTCCGTTATGAACAACGCACACTGCTGTTCATCTTGTGGTTTTCTTCATTCTCACACCCACTCAGAAGCTCAGAGAGATGAAGTGCCTTGCTCAAAGTTACATAAATAGTGAGATGCAGACTCACTTTTTCTTTTTCCTCCCTCCTTCCTTCCTTCCTTCCTTCCTTCCTTCCTTCCTTCCTTCCTTCCTTCCTTCCTTCCTCCCTCCCTCCCTCCCTCCCTCCCTCCCCCCTCCTCTCTCTTTCTTTCTTTGATGGAGTCTCCCTCTGTCACTCAGGCTGGAGTACAATGACGCCATCTCAGGTCACTGCAACCTCTGCCTCTTGCGGTCAAGCGATTCTCCTGCTCAGCCTCCTGAGTAGCTGGGATTGCAGGTGCTTGCTACCATACCCGGCTAATTGTTGTATTTTTAGTAGAGACAGGGTTTCAGTACATTGGTCAGGTTGCTCTCAAACTCCTGACCTCACATGATCCACCCCCTCGGTTTCCTGAAGTGCTGGATTACAGGCGTGAGCCACTGCACCCAGTCTCAGACTCACATATTCAAAATGTCCCAGTGAGTCTGTTGGGTGGAGCCTTAGGGTTAAACGTCCTGCCTAGTGTCCCAGGCAGGTCTCCCCCAGACTTGGCGAAGCAAGGGTTAAGGTGCACACTCTCACAGACTGCAGCGTCCATCACTTTCATCACCTGGACTGATGTAAACCGAGTCTGCAGCAGAGGGAAGGCGGATGAACTGCCAGATGTGTTTTAAGAAACCAGCTTGCAGGAAATTGCTGTCAGGTGATTATTATTAGCCTGGTTATTCAGAACAGCCCTTTCTCCAAAGGTCTTTCATTTACCAAATGCTTGATGTGATTTTCCTGTCAGCCCTAGAAACTTTTGTCCTCCTGGAGAGAGTGCTTGTCCCCCAGGACTGCTGAAAGCAGGTGATTATAATTCTGCCCCCGCTTCCCATCAGCTTATAACAGCAGTTGCTTTAAATGCACAGTGGTCCCTGCTCTGGTTTCTGGTTGTGTGTGCAGAGGCAGGAGATTGACCTTCAAGTGTACAGAGCTGAGTTCAAATCCCCAGCTCGGCCACTGATTCATTTTATCCATCCATTCAATACCTAATTTTGAAGAGCTTTTCATGTGCTTGGTACTTGGGCAACTGCTTTATTTCTAGGAAACTTAATTTCTTAGTGTCTTGAATACTGATAACACCTTTCTTGATGTGTTGTGAGAATGAGTGACGTGTTACCCGTGGAGAGTTCCAGGCAATCACTCTCTTCCATTTCTTGAGACAATCTGACAGTGTCTCTTATACTTTAAAGAACCCACCAATATTACTCACTTCACGAAGTCACATTGATAGATGGGAAAAAAAAGTTACAGTGCCATTCATACTGTATAAGATCAATTATGTAAAATAAAAATCTCACAAAACGTGTTTTCTCAAGCTAGACAGAATGAGCTCTATCCATACAATGGATTATTATTCAGCCATAAAAAGGAATAAAGCAAAATAAACGAAAAAGTTTTTAAAAAATTAGCTGGGCATGATGGTACATGCCTATGTTCCCACTTACTTGAGAGGCGGAGGTGGGAGGGTCACTTGAGCCCAGGAGGTAGAGGCTGCAGTGAGTGGTGTTTGTGTCACTGCACTCTAGCCTGGGCGACAGAGAGAGATCCCGTCTTAGAAAACAAAACAAAAAAACAAAAGAAGGAAATACGGTCATTTTAGATGCAGGTAGTGAAGGATCTTGCAATGAAATCATCCTGGATTTAGGGTGAGCCCTAAGTCCAATGACTGGTGTCCTCATCGAAAGAGGAGAATACACAGAGAGAAGAGGACAATGTGGAGACAGAGGCGGAGATTGGGGTGAGGCAAGTGTGAGCCAAAGATGGCCCAGGATTGCCGGCAGCCTCCAAGCGGCAGGACAGAAGCACTGAACGGATTGTCCCTCAGAGCCTTTAGAAGGACCCAGCCTAGCTGATATTTTGATTTTGGATTTCTGGCCCCCAGAACTGTGCTAGAGGCCAGGCGCGGTGGCTCACGCCTGTAATCCTGGCACTTTGGGAGGCCGAGACAGGCAGATCACGAGCTCAGGAGTTCGAGACCAGCCTGGCCAACATGGTGAAACACTGTCTCTACTAAAAATAGAAATATTAGCTGGGTGTGGTGGCACATGCCTGTAATTCCAGTTACTCAGAAGGCTGAGGCAGGGGAATGGCTAAATCCGGGAGGCAGAGGTTACGGTGAGCTGAGATCATGCCACTGCACTTCAGCCTGGGCGACAGAGCAAGACTTCTTCTTGGAAAAAAAACCAAAGCATTTAAAAACAGAACCATGTGGGAATACAATTCTGTTGTTTGAAGTCACCCAGTTGTGTTTAGTTGGGAGACTAATATAGGTTTTAGCTAATTTCTGCCTCAAGATCTTTTCATTTGCATTCTTCTTGGCTCAGAAAGCCCTCTCATTCGTTTCCACCTTCACAACTGGCTCCTTCTCGTCCAACATAGCTTAAATTATTTTTATTTTAGAATTCATTTTATTTTTTGAGACAGTCTCACTCTGTCACCCAGGATGGAGTGCAGTGGTGCGATCTCGGCTCACTGCAACTTTTACCTCCCAGGCTCTAGCAATTCTTCTGCCTCAGCCTCCCGAGTAGCTGGGATTACAGGTGCCCGCCACCATGCCCGGCCAATATTTGCATTTTTAATAGAAACAGGGTTTCACCATGTTGGTGATGCTGGTCCTAGACTCCCGACTTCAGGTGATCTGCCTGCCTCAGCCTCCCAGAGGCTGGGATTACAGGCATGTGAGCCACTGCACCTGACTCACAGCTTAATTACCTACTCAATTTGCCCTTCTCTGCCCATTCCTCGTGTGTCGCCCCTACCATCTACCCAAGTAGCTCTCCTTTACACACGCTTTACTTTTCTTTCTTA